GTCAGCTAAAAATAAAAGAGATATTCATAAATTACAATTAACATTGAAATGCTGAAAAATAGCCAGAGTGAGATCCGTTCTCGTAATGTATGGCCTAAAACTAAATTGGAACCTCATCTAGAAAATGAGCAATTGGGCTTTGTGTATTCAATATTATCTCTGCAAGCACATCTTTGTTTTTTTTTTTTTGTAATGACCTCTACTTCACCATTTTTATAGATATTATAGATTACATATATATATATATATATATATTACTAATGCGTTTGCAATAGCTCATAATTTTAAAAATTGACTTTTTTTCCCAAAAAAGTCAAAAACTTAAAGCAAAAAGATTACCTTCATGAATGGAGTAAAACAGTTAATTTAATTTATATCAATATGAAATATATAATTTATATTAATTTTTCATTTTTATAGTAGTGTATAATTGTAAAACAAGCATTATATGCTTGAATTAACATGCACAAAATATGGATTGGATTTTTCTCCGCGGAGTTTCCTTCCCTTCTTTTTCATTGCAAATTTCAATCATTTAAATTAAAGTTTTATTGTTAAGATATGTTTGAGAGGATACAATGAAACGAAAAATGAATGATGATTAATAAAATGAAATAGAATGTAACATTTCATTGTTTAAGAATTTTATTAGAAGAATAAATAATTTTGTTAATAATTTTTTTAGAATAATTATAAAATTAATAGATTTGCATTAGATATAATTATAACTTTTAGTTTTAAGATGAGATAAAGTGAAAGAGTAAGAGAAGGTAAGAAGGATATGGTAATTTGAGAACTGAGAAATAATAAATATAAAATAGTCAAGAATGACTTATAAAGTCACCCCAAACCATCCAACTTCCTTTTAAAAATTCTCCCAAATAGGTATGTTACTTTTAACCATCATATCCCACTCCATTTGGTGTCAAAAAAAGAAAATAAAAAATCCCATACACTATCTTACAAATTATGGTAAATTATATATGACTTTTTTAAACTTTAAATCATATATAAATGACTCTTTTTACTTTTAAAACTTAACAATAAATTTTTTTAAATTTGAAATTTATACAAATAATTTCTAACAATTAATTATATATTTTTTAAATTTTATTTTGTGTGCATCTAAGCTTTTAAACTTTGATTGATATACGATAACATATCTAAATTTTAAATTATATATAAATAATTAATATAAAAAAATTAATCATATATAATTATATACGGAGATATAAAAGTTGATGGGTTTTATTATAAAATTTCAAAAGTTAAAGAGGTTGTGTATATATGATTCAAAATTTAAAAGTGTGATGTATAATTTAACTTAAAAATTATTAATTTATTTATTTATTTTTGCCAACAAATTTAATCTAACGATGCAAATTTGGACTGCCTCCTCCCTAAAGGAAAAAAAAAAAAAAAAGACGACTCCACAAAACGCACCCTCGACTGGTGGCAACTAGCAAATTCAATTTTTTGTTCGGCATTCCACTCTTGGTCGAGCTCGCCGTCGGGCGCCGTCTACATTTGTCATCCCTGCGTGGTTGTCCGGCAAGTTTTGAAGAAGGTATAAACTTTATCTTCTCCCAAAATCCGGTGATCATTGAATCTGATTTCCCATCTTGAACAGGGGACACGATGCCTTTGGGACTAATTCTTGGGATAGGAAGGGCATTTCGAAGGAAGCGAACTTCGTCCCTTGACATTCTATCGTCAAAACGTGCTCCCCGAGGTTACTACAAAGGGAAAAATTGCAAGCCTACTGGTTTCCACACGCGCAAAGGTTTGCTGACCTTCACAAAATAAATTGCAATGGCTATCGTTGCACAAAATGTGTAGGATGGATTATTGGAAAGGTTCTATAATCTGTTATCATATTTGAGTTTATTTTTCTTTTGGAGGAACAGTTTTGGATTAGATTTTAAAAGACAGAATAGAGATAGAGAACTATTGTTTAGCAACTTCCAGCAAACCAATACTAGGAAGGCACTTTCAGACTGTACTGTATTTTCATGTGCTGTATTTTCATTATACCCAAGAATGATTCAACTACGACAATTCTTACTTTGTTCTTTCAAACTTCTGTCAATAGATTACTAATAAAAACAGAGGTTGCAGCCTATGAAAGGGAAATAATGAACAAACAACCTAACTTCGTTTTAGAGCCATCTTCATATGAGCAACTTTGGATTATTGGCTGCAGAGCAATTTTGGGTTCTGAAATCTGAATCTCTAGTAAACACCTCTTTCTATGATTCCTTCATTAGTTTTAAAAAATTCGTTATTATCCTTCCTTGCTTCATCTCATCTATCACCCAACCATGCCTTCCTATTTTAGTCATCTCCCTCTTCCATCACACTCCGTTAAATGTTTCATGGTGCATTTCAGATACTTAATTAAAACAGGGAACGGAGAAATCTTCTCCAAGGAGAGAGCGACAGAGGTCTGCATCTCTGTCTAGGGCATGAATATTGTGAAATTTGTGGTCTCTAAAATTATTATTAAGCTGCCACCATGTCATCTATCATATTTTGTTCACTTAAATTTGATTGGTGCATCTTGTTAAGGATTTAATAGGATCAATTAAAGTATAGAGGTTTGTCTGCTTAAAAATTGGAGGTTGGGGCGGAGGTGCACTGCTAACTTTTTAAGATGAGGGGATTTCTGCACTTGATCCAAAATTTAAGAGAATTATGCGCAATTTAGCCTTTTACAATGATTGTTCAATGTTCAATCTTAGTACTACTCCTATATATAGCATGGTGGTTACCTTAGTTGGTTGTTGTTTTGCCTTTTCAATCTGCTTTTCCCAACATTTCAGCACATTGAGTGATCTACATAATCATACCAAATGCACGTAAACTTGTGGCCTTTTGGGATGTATTCTGTTGATCTTTTCTGGAGTTTATTCCTAGTGTATGTTATATGACTTTTAATAACTCCAACCATTCCTGGAGTTGTATCCTCGGAATCCAATCCTGCTTCTAAAAATTTTCTTACTTGAGATCCATGATATACATTTTAGGCATTGTAAAATACTATGTACAAAGATGCAAACATGAGGGCCATATTGTATTATTTTTCGTCTATAATGTATATTTGCATTTTGTTGCAGGTGGATATGTTGTATTGCAAGAAAACTGCCAAACTATGTAGTCCCTGATCTGACTGATTTCAAGGTCTGCATCTTTCTGTATATTTGCATTCTCTTTCTTCTTATCATGTTAGTTCTTGTTGCATCCCTGTGATCTTACCCTAAATTGTTAAAATGGTACTCCTCTGGTCATAAATGTAAGAGCTAGTTGAGGAGTTTGTTTTGGTGTTAAATGCACGACCCTTGTCTCTTTTGTGTCTCACATTTGTCATTTTTTCCCAAACTACCCTATTGATTGCGCACATAGTAGGGGTAGTTTTCAGTGAAAAAATACAAAGGAGGAGCATTTAAGGAAAACTATCTCAACTTTTTTACAAATAGCTAGCTAAATTAATTTCCTTATTTATATGAATTAGTTATCTAATTTCTGCATTTTTAGGACTTGATGCATTATATTCTAGGCTCATTGCTGATTTTTATTGTTATTCTTTTTTGCAGCTCAAACCTTATGTATCTCAGTGTCCTAGAGAAGTCAAGACCTCTGAGGCTTCTGGAGCGGCTAAATAACCAAGTAGTGGAGGCTGGGAATGGTTAACAGGGCTAGGCACTTTTTTTTTTTTTTTGCTTATTATCAGAATCTTTTGAGGGATGAAGTCTTGTGTTATTACGGAAGTATTATTCATAAAAAGGAGAACGATTTATCTCGTATTGTGTGGTGCAACTCAATTGTTTCTTGATTCAAATTTCTTTCGCAGCTTAAGTTTCCCTGGCCTGTATGACAGTGGTCGTGACAGCACATCAAATCTGGTCATGAGCGTGTATGTTAATGTTGCACCGACCCTGGGAACATAAACTGACAACCATTATACTTGATGTTATTTTTCTGAATGGAGAGGCAGGGTATAAGTTTGTAGCATCATTCTTTATTATGCAGTGTCCATCTTTGAAATAACCTATGCAATTATTTTATCTATAATAATCATATTAAACAGATTATTTTCCCATGGTGACAAAATTAATTTCATTATCTTCCGAGTTCCATCTATGGATTATTATTTATAGTTAATTTTTTTTTTGCTTTTTACTAAAAGAAGATTATTTTTGTTTTATATTTTATTTTATTCAAATTTAAATGCATCAATTTTTTTTATTAAAAAAACGTAAGTTATGATTCAAATAATCATTCATGATAAAGAAGACTAAATAACCAACAATATTATCCCACAATAAGTTGATTTCAACTATAATGGATTGTAGTCAATTAACTCCATTCATTCTACCAATCCTATGTATAAGTCGTTTTAAACTACTAACTCAATAATTAAGATTATCTGAAACAATAAACTTGTTTTAAAGTTAAATTACTTTCTATTTCTCCCCTCATAGACCGGAGGGTATTAAAGTTAAATTAATTAATTAATTAAGATTATTCATTAAATGCTATATAAAAAATGTGATTTGAATTCAGTGAATAAACCAAAATTAGTAAAAGATTTTGTTATATAATACTTCTAAAATATCAAATTTCAAATTTTTGATATGGATAACATATGTAAAGAGTATTTTAATTGTGAGATTTTTTTAATTTTTAATTTTAAATAAAAATATATCTGAATAATTTTTAACTATTGATAAAATTCAATGTGAAGAGTAAGTAAATTTAGAGTATTCTTAAAATTCAAAATCCAAAAAATTCAGATTACCCATTACCCAGTTTCTTCTAAATATTGTAGGAGGGAAAGAGAGTAATGAGTATTGGGATTTACAAAAACAGTTCTGAAAATTTAGGAAAATTCCTTATTGGTCGGCAGATTAGATAATGCGCGTTACCACTTACTCATTTTATATAGGGTCGACCTCCGCTCCTTCTTCCAAGCCATGGCTTCCATCCACTACTCGGTTTCGATCCCTTCGGCCCAAATTACCCAACTCCAACAATGTTCGAACCTTTTCGGTGAATCTATCAAATCCAAAACGTTCTTCGTGTTCCTTTCCCAGAATCCGAGCCTCGAGTTCGCCATCGTCCCCTTCATTGGAAGAGGCAGTAATGAGCATAGACAATCTTCACAGCTTCATCGAGCTTAATATGGGAAAATGGAACGGCTCTTTCTATGTAAGCATTGTAATGGAAAATTTCTTTGAGTAGCAGTTTTGTGTTTTTTGCCGTAGTAAGCCTTCCCTCTCCCCTTTTTCAGCAATTTGACGCTTCTGGGCATTTGTTGCAACAAATAAGTACGAAGCTTTCAGCAAGTTCTTATGGAGAAGATCATCTCATGAGTCTCATTCAGACGTAAGCTTCTCATGAATCTTTTTGTACTTAAAAGGAAAGGGATAGATCATCTTTTCATGGAGACACTCTGTGGATCTCACAATTCTATAGTATCTTGGAAACCGCGGTAATTAAGATTGTCATACTGGGCAATTTAACATAGAAACGATAAAACTGTCATGTCGTGAGAGTGAACAAGTTCAACAGGGTCATGTCATATCTTCGTGGTTTTTGAGGGCGACGAAGTACTACTACCTAAATGGTGTCATCCCATAAGACCATACCTTGGATGCCATTCGTTATCCATTTTATCGGTGTAATACAGATAGATATCTTGGATGTTGACTGACTTCATAGAAGTTAGCGTCAAAATGACAATATACGGTACACCTCCGGTGGATTAAATCCATTTGGTCATAGAGTTATTATGTTTTATCCAGTTCTTTAGAGCTAAATTGTCATTAATCATTGTATCTCTTACGCAACCGTTGCAAGTTACAAATCTTTGATTGATTTATTACATTGCTTCTCGCAGCCTATACATTAAGCAACCTTCATCAAGTACTTCAATTTCTGGCTATGATGAGCAACCAGAGTGGGCAGAGTACAAAATCAAAGAAACCAATATGTTTACTGTTGAAAAATATCAACAAGTGAGTTTTTCTCCTATTGCTTGGTGGTTCAGGATACACAGAATGCTCAATTTCTTTCTATGGAAAGAGTAACTTTGCCTTATATTTTGTAATCCCTTTGTCTTCTGTAAAATATCCACCATGGTTAGTCTGCAGATTGGGTTTTTTCCATCTGAAAGAGCCTTTTCCCTGAGATATCAGACAGCTGGCATGCTGGAATCTGTATTGAGGCAAGGGGTTCTTGGAGAAGATGACACTGGTGAAGAATCACCAAAGTAAGTGATTCTCTGAAAGGTCCCCTAGCACTATTTAATTAGTTTGTAATCAGGTTGAATGTTTAACTGTAATCGGTGCAGTTTCTAGAAATGAGTAGATTAAATTGAGACTGCAGCTGGCGTGGATAGTAACAAAAGTACACCTATTTTAAAGTGTTCCCATTAGGAACAATTCACCTATTAGGATCAGAAATGCAAATAATAAATTAATATCTGCGGTGATTATTCTAGTTAAGCCAAGTTTCAAATTAGTGCACTAATTTCAAAATAAATCTAAAATTCTAGTTCCCATAGGCCTACTATTTGACAACTCCTTGCCAATGTTGCCATGGGGTTGTCATGTCTAAAAGCACAACTACAAATATGGTCTGTTTTGGGCATTGATACTGAGAACCTTCTCATATATTTCTACTGCTTGCTTAGACTTTCTTTCCATTCCCTTTATGTGCAGAAATGTAAAGCTTCCCTCTCGTCGACCTTCTGTTGTATGTGAGAATTGCTTGTATTCTCTACAGGCAGAGATGCGAGCAAGAGCCTTTCACATTTTGGATCCAAAAGGAGTTGTAGATATGCTTATTGTTTTCCTAGAGGAAAAAAGTGATGGGTCTCCTCCTCTGCTTAGCAGTTCAATGGTACTTGGGATAAGTGCAGTTTTTAATTTTTATGCATGAAATAAATTCACCTCCCCACGAACACTGGCTTGTTTCTTTATTTGTTGGGAACTCTGCTGATTTCTAGAGTTGCTTGGTGACTGAGTTATTTTTCTGTTGGTGGTTTCTTTCATGTATGACACGTTTTCTTTGTTTGGATTCATGGCAGGACACAGAGAGCAGGATTTTACCATTTCTTGGCAAGTGGAAAGGCCACTCTGTTACAAAACGTAGTGGTGTGTACGGATCTACGATCGCTGAAGCTGATACAGTTGTGTCACTTGAAATGGATGGCCAAGGCCAGCTTAATCAGGCATGTCACGCTTGCGGCACAAGCCCAAGCAAATGAAAAGAAGTGTGACTGCTAAAAGAAAGTTAACCAAAACCGATATATTTTAGGAATAATATAACTTTTAATTCTTAAACTCTCTCTCAATTATCAATTTAATTTTTGAACTTTGATTCAATGTAATTTAGTCATTCTAATTTATTAAGGAATTATGAGGATTGAGTTCTATTGAGTCAACAAATTATAAGGACTGAATTATTTGAAGTCAAGAAACTATAAGAACCAAGTTGTTCTTATTCAAAATTTAAGTACTGTATTGATAATTGAAACAAAGTTTCAGAGGCTAAAAATAATACTTTCCCTGTATTCATGTAACTTAGAAAAGTTTCATATTTTATAAATTCCATAAGGAGTCCCTTTACTTTACCTTGATCTTGTAAAATGAACTGCTGTTGCTTCTGTGTCCCAGACTGTGGCTTCAACATCGAACAAGGAAAATGAAAAGGTGACTACAAATGTGGAGTGGAAGGGGACAATGTCAGAGAATTTGGTTACATTTGAGGGAGGATACCAGGTTACGCTATTGCCTGGAGGGATGTACATGGGGTGTCCTTGTGACGTGGCAAAAAGTGTTGCAGAATCAAAGTCTTTCCATTTGGAGTTCTGTTGGCTTGAGACACCTAGCCAGAGACAAAGATTGGTTCGCACTTACGATGTGCAAGGCTTAGCTGTTTCTTCCACTTATTTTTCTGAGACTAAATCGTGAAGTCTGAGTTCGCCTTGCTTATATCATCAACACATCAACACCTTACCTCTTTTCTTTTCTTTTCTTTTCTTTTTTGAGGGAATGTTGTGCGTAGTTAAATAAGGCTGAATGAGACACACCTTCCACTTTCATTCACTCGATCGCTCTTTTTCTGAAGAGATTTCCCTTTAGATATAAGCCATGTATAATTTAAATCTGTCTGGTTTTTGAGTACATTTCGATGTTTTTAGTGTGTGCTGTAACTTGCACTAATAAGTTGAACTATTTTATTGTTACGCATTCTTTTTTCACTTCCAAATACTCTTCTTCAAATATTCGAGTGAGTAGCTGACTTTTGGCTTTGCTTATTTTGTATTTGTATGTGTTGGTATGTGAATATAACGTATCTTGACTAATTCTCATTTGAGCATTCTTGGGCTCAAATGTGTCATAGACGCATGTTACAACCCATAGAGATTTTATGACATACAAAAACAATCAATATTAACATAAAATATAAAAAAATTAAAAGGCTGTATAATTCACAACAAGAGTTTGAGTTTCATGTAAAATTATGCGTTTCATGTAAAATTATGCATCCAATTACAGTTCTCAAAAGTATTATATCATTTAAAGTACATAACTATTTTCAATGTTTTCAGAAAAGCCCATCCTATCTTCTAAAGTATTTTTAAGCATAATTTTACCTCAATATTTTTGTTTTAGTACAATTTCACCTGGCCGTTAGGATTTGATTATGTTGACCATTAGTCAATAAGATTTAACTATTATATGCATGGCTGGCAGTATGACATCTTTTAAAATTTTAAAATAAAAAGAAACAATCCTCTACTGGCCATGTCATCATCTTCCCTCCTTACGCAGACCAATCTTCTTCATTGTTTTCCTCTGCAAAATTTAAAAAAAAAAAAATCCAAAGCATATTCATTCTTCATTCAAAATCAAGCACAAAAACGATCAAAGTAGGAACATAATTTTTATGACAGCCTTCTCTCTTATTCGACATAATTTTTCAAAAGTCATCCTCTAACGACTACCATCAAAAAAATAAAAAAGTTTATTATGAAAAACTAAACAATTATTTTTGACTATATTTTAGAGAGTCAAACAAATGTGCTGATTTGTTAGCACGAAAAACTTCGTATAACCACTACGGCCTTCCTATCTATAATGTTTCGCGTAAAAACGTCTTGATCTTAAACTCTAATGTATCTTGACTTTTGTAACCGACCTTGTCCGTGTCTTCTCATTCAAAAAAAAAAAAAAAACAAACTATCAAAGTAAAATAAACAAATCCAGCAATCAAACCCAGAACAATTGAAGGAAAATAAACAAATCAAGGTAAAATAAACATACCCAGATCCAGCAATCTTTGTCCCTCATCTTCATCCCATTGTATAGCAAAATAAACAAATCAAAGTAAAAAATTTTGTTTTCCTTTCAAACCCAGAACAATCGAAGTAAAATTTATATACAAGGCATCAGAACAATCAAAGAACGATTTTGAAATAGATAAAATCTAGAAACTTTGGAACCTAGAAATTTTTAAAACAATCAGCGTTTGGCGTCAGCGTCGCACTACTCCCTCACTTCCTTTGTCTCGATCTGTCTCCGTCGCACCACTACGTCACTTCCACAGTCTTGATCTGTCAACTACAATGCTCAATTATGTTTGGGTCTTTGGAATCGCTTCGAATTGAAATATGGGTTGCTAACTTTGAATCACGTTGAACCCCCCTAACCTCTCAATCCGTCTACTGATTTGGATCTCGTGTTTCCCTCTGACCATGGGTATCGTCGAGCCGGTGTGTGACCAAAGAACAACATACTCGATAGCTTTGAAATAGAGAGAGACGCTGGCAACAGCAGGCGTAGTTAAATGGCGGCCAATAGAACTCAAATTCTTCTCACCCAATCAAACCAAATCCTAAACGGTATGACCTCATAGAACTCATATTCCCTCCAATCAAAACTTAAAATCTAAGATTTGAAGCATATTTGAAGTAGAGATCGAGCGGGGATAGAGAAAAGATAGAGGGGGGGGGGGGGCGCAAAGAGAGGAAGTTGGAGATCGAAGAATGGGATGAAACAAAGGTTTGGAAATGGAAGGGTAGTGAAGAGAAAGTGACGTGGACTGTTATGCGGCACTCAAGCAGATAACAGTTTGACACTTTAATTTAACAGTCAAAATGAGTCAAACTTAATTGAATGATGAAATTGTACCAAATTAAAAAATATTGGGACGATATTACGTCAAAAAATTTTATAGGATGCACTTGAGTGAAAATATTAAAAATAGTTTTATACCTTAACTTTATTATTTATACTTTTATTGATGAGGAGATTTTAAATATTATTTTTTCCATGCATTTCTATTCTTGATGTATATGACTTTTTTTTTTATTTTTAAAAAATTAATATGTAATTTAAATCTTGAGTTATAAGTTTTTGGATGATTTGCACCTAATTATTCATAATTAATACATTTTAAACTTTCAATAATTAAACTTGAGGTAATTTCACCTGAATATTAAATTGAAGTATATGGATGTTAGTTTTAAGTGGTAGGCCTAACTCTCATCACTGAATAATCTCTCTCCTCCTCTCCTCCTCCACTCTCTCACTCAAACCTAGAGAGGTTTTGCTTCGAATTGAGAACTTTGAGAGCTCTTAGCTACCGTTCAAGAGTGTGGTTTTGCATGTTGCTCCCTCTTTGCTTTCTTCTCTCCCGCCTTTTTTTGTCAACGTCCTTGCTTTTCTCTCAATTTTGGGGACGGCATCATTATCAGCATGGAAGAATGCAGGAGATGCAATACCTTATGGTTAAACAAGGAACCTAAGGGAAACGGAAAAAAAAAAAAAAACCTTCTTACTCCGAGTTACAACAATGAAAATGCTTGAATCATACATTCTCATCATCATCTTTATTGTTTTCATGAATAGGATTTTTGTCCTGGCCAGTCCAAATGACTTCGTCAAGTGCACTTCCAACAAAAAAAAAAAACTAATCGCAGCCTTAGAGCAAGACCTTATATCTATGGTGGCCTCAACATCAAAGTCCAACATAAAAGTGAAAGCAACCACCACATATTCCTACAACGCCCCCAACCTTGCTTGCCTCGAAGGCCAACATGGTATCATAATAAGCGCCAACAAGCTCAATCATATAGTGAATGTTGATGGGGAGACCAGAAGGATGACGGTAGAGAATGGCATTCTTCTATCTAAGAGACTTGATCAATAAAGCAATAATGAATGGACTAGCTTTCTTGTGCACACCATACCAATGGGCAATCGCAGTAAGGGGATTGTTGGCGACGGTAGAAGTAGGGTATGCCAAAGTGAGGCGCCTTAGTGAGTCTGATGAGGAACGTAATTAAAAATATGATTGTCACGTTGGAGCTTGTTAAACGCATCCATAGAAACACCCATGTGAGATTATTCCTTAAAACTGTGTCCGTTCCTTCTTACAACAACTTCTCGATTTGCTCAATGCCAAAATGGTCGGCTCATCCTCACCTTTGTTAACCAAGAGTGTAAGGAGGAAGATTCTGTAGAAGTGATGGAAGAAGCAAAGGAAAATCAGATGGAGAATGAAATCGGAGGATGAGCTTGGGGATAAATTGAAGCTATAGGAGATCAAACGACCATGTTGTCAATTGGGATCAGAAGGTTAACTTGAATGATAAATAAGCCAATTGAATTTTAGCAGTTGAGAAGGCAACAATGTTGACATATGGAGATAGCAGCAAGAGATTAGGCGGAGAGAGGGGGAGGAGAGAACTAGCGTATGGAGAGAGAATGTGGGCAAAGAAAACATGGCCCCTAATAAGCTTAAAGTAACAGACGTTAGTGCCAAGTTAATATGGTGGGAGTGAAATTATTTCATATTTAATTATTTAAGGTTTAAAAGGTATTAATTGCAGGTATAAGGTTTAAATTATTTTTGGACCTGTAGTTTATAATTTAAATTGCGTATTAATCTTATTTTATATTCAAAATACTCTTATTAAATATAATTAAGTAAATTGCTTCTATAGACTGAATGCTTATGCCATTTGGAGATGTAACACTTCCAAGCTTTTATAACAATGGCTAGGTGTGAGTTTTAGGCCAAGCGAGCCCTTAAAACTTAGCGTTTATTTGGTTTTGTGTGATTTTCCACATTTAGGAAGTGTTTTCGTGCTTGCAAAAAGTGAAATATTGTTTGGATAAAATATCATCAAATCAGAATTATATTTGAAACACATTTGAAACATTCTTGAAAATTCATTTAGCCAACGTAACCCATGCTTGGCTTTAGTTTTGATCAAATGGACCTTTGGCTGAAAAACTAGGCATTTTTTGGGGGAAATTACCATTTTTTTAAAATGATTTATTTTTATCACAAAAATAATTTAATTCCATTATTTATCATTATTTTATTATAATTTTTCCCAATTTTTTAATTTTATATTATTTTATTCATTTTTTATTATATATGTTATTAAAAATAAAATTTTTATGTTATTTATACAATTTCATTTAAAATTTTTATCATATTTTTTAAACATTTATAATATATTACGTTTGTATAATAATGATTATAAATTATCATAAATCAATATTTTTTTATAATTATATATTTAAAAGTACATTTTATTTTATAAAATTTAAATAATTTTTAATTTACTAAATTTACTTTAAAAAAATATATTCAAACATAAATTTTATTACAATAATTAATTTTTATTAAACTAACTTTTGTCAAATAAATTTTTGACAAACTAACTTTTCACATGAAAAATCAAACATGTACTTAATTTATCTAACCTTTAATCTATTAAGAAAACTTACAAGACAAAAGACGTAACGTTTTATTAAGTGAGTGTAGCATAGATAATAGCAATTTAAACTCTTAAAATATTATTTTTTAGTTCAATTCTTAAAAATGTGTATGAAAGTATTGTTTTTATAAAAAAATAATTTCTTAAATGACGTTTAAATTTTTAAAAAAATTAGTTTTATAGTTAGAAAGCTAAGTTAGGAAAAAAAAGAAAAGCAATACTTTGTAAGGGGGAATTTAAAGTGATTCATATTTTATTCACATGGTAGTTTTTGATGAAGTTTTATTATATTAATTATTAATTATTATTGTTCTGACGAGACAGTCAACACCATGCGCCGTGGACTTACATGAGGGGGGTGATTGCCAAAAGGGGGAAAAAGGACTTGCAAGGGAGAGATTGTGCCCTTGGGAGACCGGCAAGCTCACCGAGATTCCACGGCCACTCACTCAGTATTCAATATCTTACAATTTACCAAAAACATTTTGGAACCCCTAGATTTTTTTGGCTGCTTGGAAGATTACTCTTATGTTAATATTTATTGTAATTTTTAAAAAAATTAACCTTATACGATTATAATCATCCTCTATTTGGCATCATTAAAAGGATAAATGATTTTCTTATATGCAATTGACAAGTGTCCATCGATGACCCTAAAAAAAAAAACTAATTAATATGTAGATTGACTTGCACATGAAGTAAAGAAAGATAATTTTAATGTTAAAATTTTAAATGATTCATATGTTAGATGTAAAAACTTTTCTTCACCTAAGATATTTCTTGATTTATTTATAATTGCACATCTATCAGGGCGCCTTGTTTATTTTTTTTTTTCAAATCTTGTAATTTACTATTTGACGTCTTCCTACCTAAAATACCATTTTTCGATATTAGTATTCATTCATTAATATTTTAAACCTCAATTCTGACATCTTATGCATTAAAATAAAACAAGTACTCCATCTATCTTAAATTATAAGATATTTTTAGGTAAGTTTTCATATATCAGTAAAGCTCATTAAATATACTTTATAACTTTCCTTTTTTAAGATAAAAATATACTTTTAAAAATTTCTTTCATTTAATACTTTATTGATGAAATAATATTGAATATAGAGAATATATAAGAAGTGTATATTAAAAAAGTATTATTAATAAAATTTTATTTTTATCAAAATATCTTATATTTTAAAATATTAATTTTTTTAAAAAATATATTATAATTTGAAACATAAAGAGTACCATATAACTGTATAAAACTATATATTTTATAATTATAAGTTGACCAAGTTATCTCAGTTATTACCTCTCCTTTTTAATAAAGATAAGCAATCGAAAAGTTAGTTTTTCTCACCTAATAAATAATACTTCATTTATTTAAAAATATAAGACATTTTTTAAAGAGTTAGATGTTAAAAAATGTAAGATATTTTTTATTTTTTAAGATATAATCATTGCTTTTTTTTTTTAAATGTTCCTATTGATAATAATTTTATATTTATTATAAGGTGTTTAATAGGAGTAAATATAAAAAGATAAGATTAATTAAAAAATAAATAATTATTTAATTGAGAATAAAATTTAATTAAAAATATTTTATATTTTTAAATAGATAGCGTAATTATTACATAATTTTACGGAGGAATTTCGTTCTTCCTCGATTGCCCCGCGACATGCCCCATCCATATCCATTGCCTGTTCCGTTACAGGAAGTTAATACTGTACTTTTTGCGTTCAGATTTTGTACAACTACGAGGAACAAATTTAATTTTCTTTTTCTTTTTCTTTTCTTTTGTTTTTTTTTTTAAAAGAAGACATCATTTTCATTGCGTCGTGGACCTTCCTCTGAATCTGCACTCTTGAAGATAGCACGAAACACCATCATTACTTGCACGATTACCAAACACAGCACTCAGTTGCAGTTGGCCAGATTCACTGCTCTTAGAGCTCTTGCTTCCTTCCTTGCCTTCCTCTTATCCATCAATGGCAGCCAAAAATGGTCAATCCCTCACGGCACCGCCGCCTCGTCCCACCATCACTCTCCCGCCGCGACCTCCCATGGAGGCCTTCTTCACCGGAGGACCCGGCCTGAGCCCCGGCCCCATGACTCTCGTCGCTAGCTTCTTCTCCGACGGTTACCCTGACTCCGATTGCCGCTCTTTCTCTCAGCTGCTCGCCGGAGCTATGGCTTCGCCGCTTGCTTTCGGCGCCAGGCCTGGCTTCCTTCCGGACAATACTTGTGAGGATGGAGCAACGAAGAATTTGGGGCTCAAGCAGAGTCGACCGATGAATTTGGTCGTTTCTCGTTCCCCATTGTTTACAATCCCGCCTGGGCTTAGCCCTTCTGGCTTGCTTAATTCTCCAGGCTTCTTTTCGCCGCAGGTAATTGAAGGAATTTAACTTTGTACTTGCCTTGCGCTTCTTTTCGCTTGCCTTGCTGCTTTTATGGGAATACCGGAAGTAGACTTGGCTAGCATGTCCACCTTGAATGTTAGTTCGTTCAAGTTTATGATTTAACATATATTGTAACGTCTTGAAATTTCTTTTCTGGATGGGTTTGTCTTGTTTTTGTCTTAAAGGTGGATGGTACGTGGTATTTTGTGCATTTAGTTACTACTCGTTACCCTTCGATGCATGCATTCAAGTAGTCGATCTCTGGCTCATTCAGTTGGTCTAGAGCCTTTGTGACCGGGTTCATTGATAATCTTCTCCGTTGTCTGGTGCATATTTGAGATCTAGAGAGAAACCAAGTGGAGAAGTCTTCGATACTACTGAAGGAATTGTATCCATGACATCATAGTTGATAACTGAAAAGTCAAGCATTTAATTTTTTCTTGGAACTCATCTTTATACCTTGAACTTGAATCACATGGTTCAGTTTAGAAAGTGTTAGAAATGAGACCAGCACTTTTAAAAATAATATATGTTATATATCATATTAAGATGACTTGTAATTGGATTGGATTACCTTGAATCTCATGGTTTTGTCTGTTTTTTAGCCGTAGGAAAATCAAAAGTAATTGGATAAGAGTTACATGTTTATGATGCATGCCAAATTTTATTGAGGAAAACATTATTTCTGATATGTCTTTTTTCCTGTAAAGAATTTGGTTTTATCTAGTGATAATATTGCTTTCTTTATGTGGAGAAGTAGCTGCTTGCATAATATGACGGAATGTATTGGTCATGCCGCAGGGCATTTTTCTCATCCTTATGTTTCAATGTGATCATCATGTCTTGAGGACAGAGGATATATATGTATGAGCCTCTTATTGTCTCTCCATTTCAATATATACAGAGCCCCTTTGGGATTTCCCACCAACAGGCTCTAGCACAGGTTACAGCTCAAGCTGTCCTAGCACAATCACAAATGCACGTGCAAGCTGATTTTCAACCTTCTGCTGTAACAGCCCCTGCGGAACCATTGGCAGTGCAGCCATTCTGTACTGCAGGTGAAGGATCAGAGCTGCAAGTGGCACCATCAGTTTTGGAACCTCAAGGTGCCCAACTGGAAATATCTGAAATTTCTCACTCTGATAACAAAAATCAACCTTCATCTACGGGTGTTGACAAACCAGCAGATGATGGCTATAACTGGCGTAAGTATGGGCAGAAGCAGGTTAAGGGGAGTGAGTATCCCCGGAGCTACTACAAGTGTACACATCTGAATTGCCCTGTAAAGAAAAAGGTTGAGCGTGCCACCGATGGCCATATCACTGAAATTACATACAAAGGCCAGCATAACCATGAAATGCCTCAGCCAAACAGACGTGCTGCCAAAGATAATTGCGAATCAAATGAAAGTAAAAGCATTCAAGTTATGTCTGTGTCAAATACACAGGGTTGGGTTGGAAATTCAAATGTTTTATCTGAAAGCATGCCTGACCATTCAATGCCTGTGAGTGACCAGAACTCCAATCAAGAGGCTCCCAGACAGTTACCTGGATCAGGTGAGAGTGAGGAAGCACTTGATGCAAATATTACAGAAGAAGATGGAGATGTTGGCGAGCCAAACCCAAAAAGGAGGCAAGTTTTACAATGTTGTTATCCTTCTTCATGGAGCTCTGAATTTTTCTTTTTCTTCAAAATATAGACTAGAGTTCTGCTTTGCAGGAGTACTGAGGTTGGAGCTTCTGAAGCTTCTTTGTCCCACAAGACTGTTACAGAACCTAAAATCATTGTGCAAACAAGAAGCGAAGTTGATCTGTTAGATGATGGCTACAGGTGGCGCAAGTATGGGCAGAAAGTAGTGAAGGGAAATCCTCATCCAAGGTGACCACGTTGTCTATTCTTATTTGCTACTCTAGCTATCTTGTGAACTTGTAAAAATATGCTTGTAATGAATCGTATAGTTGAAATCATATCAAGTGACAATCCGACTCATACACAAGAACTACAAAATGCAAATCGATGACAATAAACAGGTCAGAATTAGCTCATAAATGAGGAGCATGCGATAGTTCCTTGAAATTTATATTCATCCCCCTCCCAAAAAAGAAAGAAGAAAGAAAAAGAAAAAAAGGAGAGAAATTGTCATCTTGCGTTGAATTTATTGTGCTGCACTAATTGATTTTTTTGGTTTTTCATTAATTATTTTTTTTAACACATGATGATATTGATCAAATCCATTCTCTTCCCTGATGATTTTTTTTTTTGGCCTGCGGGCGATCCTGCCTGTTAGCTTAAAAATTCCATTGATTCAATCATAAGTTTCATTTTGTCATTTCCCATTATTGAAATGAGAATCTTTTCCTTTTCGCCAGATGAGTGTGTTGCTTTGAGAGAGAGAGAGGTGCAGAGCACTTGGCTGATATTACGGTACATTAAAGAATCTTTTTAGATACCAATGGAGGTTGGGTCTAGTGAAAGGAGCTAATCTTTTGCAACATGACAAACCAAGGTTCAAATCTCCACTAAGAGAGGTGTTCACATTTAGTGTCCGATTGTGCCTTGAATAGGATTGCCTCCAATAGGAGGATACCTATGAGATTTTTTTTTTTTTTTAAAGAATCCTTCTAGATTGCTTATATTTTTCTTGTGTGTTACTCTATTAATATTCTTACTTGAGGGCTGAGGCCATCCAATGCATGAACACATAAATTGCAGTTACTCTAACCTTCTGGTGCTGCTTCTGCTCCCATTAGTTAAGTCTTGCATGTCTCGGTTCCAGATGTGTCTTCAGATCATTCAGACATATAAGTCTGTTAAAATTTGTCAAGGGATGATCGTAAATTTAGTATTTACGAGTCTTTCTCTAGTCATGCAACATCCACTCTTACACAAGAAAGATAAACTTGAAATTTCACTTTGACTCTGCTACCTTTGTCATTGCCCATAATATGGCTTGTTCATTCTTTTCCATCAGTATCTTGCTTTCAAATGAGTTTTCATATTTTAGTATGAACTTAAAATATGTTATTGCTAATGCTCATTTTCTGTGAACAGGAGTTATTACAAATGCACTAGTACAGGATGTAATGTGCGTAAGCATGTTGAGAGATCTTCAACAGACCCTAAAGCTGTCATAACAACGTATGAAGGAAAACATGACCATGATGTCCCTGCTTCTAGAAATAGCAGCCACACCACTGCTACTACCAATTCAACGCCTTTAAAACCTCATAAGGTGATTCCTGGGAAGCATCCTTTGCTTAAAGATATGGATTTTGGAAACAATGAGCAAAGACCGGCTGTTTTACGCTTAAAAGAAGAGCAAAAAAGATTATAAATATAATACTAATATCAGTTAAGCAACTTTTTTGAGTTAGAGAACTGGCCAGGTGCATGGTGGCGTTGTCTAGAAATTGAAAATGTGAAGGCTTCTTGAAGATAGTTGACCATGGTTGGCGCTTGTATTTTGTTCCCTAGGTTCTCTTTATTTTGACACTTTTGTAAATGAAGTTATGGACCTTCTTGTTGTATATGACAGATCATTAGAACTTATAAATAGACATATAGTTAGTCTCACTTGCAAAGGCAGTTGTGATTGGAGTCGTCGTGTATAGAACTGAAGAATTATGTTGGTTCTTCTCATGAAATTTCCTCGACAATTAAGCTATTCTTGAATTATAATTAGTGTAATTTGTTTCATTTTATGAAATATAATCACACAATTGTATGTATAGACTGGTTAAAAATCAATTGGACTAATTATAATTCAAGAATCATTTTTTTTATCAAAAAATGTTTTAATTCAAAAGTCACAGGCGATTAGGCAGTAATTTTTTTTGTTTAAATCAAAGATAGGCAGTAATTTAGAAGATTGCATTAAGCAATCTGAAATTCAGACCATTAAATATTAAATAACAGATTTTAACAAAGTAACATGTGAGATTTAATACTCCATTCAATTCTAAATGTTAAAACTAGTTAAGGAGTTTGTTTTAATCTTTACATATAAGGTCTTAATCGCTTTTATCTTTCTTCATTTATTATTTTATGTCTAAAACTATTCCTATCGTACAATCAATATAAGTAGTTTTCAATGTAAATGATTAGAGGGAGTAATTTTTTTTTTTTAAAAAAAATCAACACAGTTTTTCCACAAGTAACTAACTTAATTAGTTAACAAACTCTAACATTTGCAGGACCAAGGAAGTAATACTTATTAACTGTAATAACTATACAAATAACATGGTACAAGGCTGTAAGCTGATTTGCAACAAAATCACTTTGAAATATAGTGTAATTCGAATTGAAATTAATAATCAATCTTGTACAATTTAATATTATCCTAATTTATTTGATTTTTTCTAGTCGGCAACCGAGTGACGTACGAATATCTAGTAAAATAAAATCCAAAACATGAAAATAAAAGTGCACTGGAGAATGATAGCCGTTAACTACCATCGTAGGTGTGGGTGTGTCTTGAGTCCCTTTGAGATATAAGATTGTCGATGCAAGA